TTCCTTCCTTCCTTCCTTCCTTCCTTCCTTCCTTCCTTCCTTCCTTCTTCCTTCCTTCCTTCCTTCCTTCCTTTTCTCTCCCCTTCTTTTTTTGAAATGGGGTCTTGCTCTGTCACCTAGGCTGGAGTGCACTGGCATGATCTTGGCTCACTGCACTTCTGCCTCCTGGGTTCAAGCAGTTCTCCTGCCTCAGCCTCCCAAGTAGCTGGGATTACTACAGGTGCGTGCCACCACGCCCAGCTAATTTTTGTATTTTTTAGTAGAGATGGGGTGTTGCCATGTTGGCCAGGCTGGTCCTAAACTCCTGGCCCCAAATGATCCTCCCACCTCGGCCTCCCAAAGCGTTGGGATGACAGGCGTGAGCCACTGCGCCTGGCTCAGCCACGTACTTTCACTGGAGCATCCGCATGCTGCTTTGCATATGGTATGTAGTCAGAACTTGTTGAACTGAATTGAATTTCGTTTATTTGTTTTAGTCTGTGGAGTTTGCTCTCACATCCCAAAACATCACCATCATCATTCTCACTTTGGAATGGAGAAGTGAAGATATCACAGACATTGTGTTACTACATGAAACACACATTTTTACAGCAGTGTAGATATGGATGTGGGTAACTTGTAAAGGAGTTGCAGCTAAACTATTAAGCCTTATCATTCTTGTGAAGATTTGCTAAGTAGGGTGGCACGAAGCAGATTCCCTTTAATGTATGAAGAAGCAAGCCTTTCTTCATTGCTCCTTTTTTTTTTTGGCCCAATTTCTTCAATGGATCCTATCAAATTATTGCCACTTTAGGGATTATATATATCCAATATATTATATAATAAAAGCTTTGTAAGTTGCTGAAATGACCAAAATCCCCATTACAGCCAACAGGCCTCCTTTGTCTTAAATTTGCCCAATAGGCTTATCCCATTTTGTTATAATTAACATTGTATTATATAATGATGTATAACAAAAGTTTCAATGTAGCAAATGGAGCTTAAGACTAATTACCATGCTATTACACTGCCATTAGTGATGCTATTTGTAATTATATATCAAGAACTAGGGAATATGAATTGGTTTTCTATGTCTTACATCCACCTCGTACAAGAACCATAAAGACCAACTCTGAAATATTAGGCCAAGTTTCTGAATTTCATTTAAGTCTTTTAAGCCATTTCAGCTATTTTAAAAGTCAGAAGCATCTACTTATTTGTAATAAAGCAAAGAATTATGGCTTCTATGGTTCATTAACAATGTATTCTTAATTAAACTCGTCCTGATCAAAGTTTTCAGAGGCTTGCTGTTTTGTTTGTACACTCAGATATTTGGAATTATCCAATGTTTGACTTTCCGCTGCTCGTCAAAATGTTTCGGTATGGTATATACAGCTTGTAAGCTGGGTCTTCTTAGCTATAAACTTTGGATTCTGCATTATTTGTGGAGTTTTGTAGGTATCAAGCAGACATTATGAAGGACCTAGGGTAGGTGATGGGACAGCCACAGGTAAATTGGGCTGATTTTATGCCCTGTTGCACCAGAATATGCATTTCCTATGATGTGCCGAGAGGCCACACGGAAATTCTAAGTAGAAATGGGCAAAACAAAGACCACCACTTTGGCAAGAGTCTTGCCCTGGGCAAGAACTCCATTGGTTTCTACAGCAGCTCATACTTACTTGCACAATCTTCTTGTGAAATGTGGTTATTGATACTAATGTCATCCACAGCAATCCCACCAAGGTTTCCTTTTCCGATTTCGCCCTCGAAAATCACCTAACAAAATAAGATCATTTTCACAGTACTGAAATGCTCATCTTACGTGGCAGAGTTTACAAATGCTTGTTCAGCTCCCGCTATGACACATAAATTAAATTCATCAGATTCAGTGTAAGCATACAGTTCACTCATCAATCCACATTAGCTGCCTGGTGATGGCATGCACCTTCTCCTCACAGTCTCTTTTTATAATACAAACTTTAAAATGGGAGAAAGCAGCAAACAAAAGGAATGATACATTGTGAAAGCCCAGAAATAGATGACATGGAAGTCCTTTGTATTCTTTCTCAGCAAATTGGTTCTATTCCTGCAATATAGGAGACTGTGAAATCTGCTATGAAGGTGGTTATCATTGCAGCAATATCTCAGGGTTAGGAAACACTGGAAATAATATCAGAATAATTCCCGCATCTCATTTGCACAACCTCCAACAATATCGTCTCAGTATTCCTGCAGCCACTGCCCTCCCCCCCCAGCCTTGGGAAGAGGTCATACCTGATAAAGTTTCAGAGACTTGTGGAGCAAGACACGCCCTTCCTTCCAGTGGTCACCTTGGTGTCCAATGGCCATCCAGACCAGCTGATCGTACTCCTCTGGCTTCTGGTAGTGCAGTTTGACCCTGAGTGTGCCGACGTGGGACCCAGACATGTGATACCAGAAGGTCATGCAGTGGGCAGAGTTCTGGGAATAAACCACAGGGCTCACCAGGCGAGCCACTTTGCCCTTCTGATTTTCATCAGCTTGGGAATAGATGAAGTTGCCATCTCCTGCTGTGACAAAGAACTGTGTTAGGGAGAGTGGCCAGGATTACCACACTTTTATCTCTCTTATTTCAAGTCTCACTAATCAAAAGCTTCCTGCGCTGAGTGCCAAGAACTCAAATATGTAGTGGAAAGGGAGAAGTGTGCATACTTGGGGACCTCATGGGCACCTGAGGCCCTGCTCTCAGCTCCTGCAAAATGGACATTTGACTAGGGGAAGGCTGAATGGCACTAATTAGGATACTACTTATAATGGAATACATTTTCATATGGACACAGGCTATGGCTCAAGCTGGCATTTGCACCATCACAAGCAAACTGAAAGCAAAGTCTGTGCATAGCCTGGACTGAAAATGCCTGGCTCTTTAAGAAGAAACCTTATTTATTTATTTATTTGTTATGTTTAGACACTCCTGTTGCCCAGGTTGGGATGCAGTGGTGCGATCATAGCTCACTGCAGCCTCAAACTCCTTGGTTCAAGTGATCATCCTGCCTCAGCATTCTGAGTAGCTATGACTATGGGCCCACGCCACCATGCTCAGCTAGTTCTTAAAAAGATTAATTTTTTTTTTTTTTTAAGTAGAGATAGAGTCTTTCTGTGTTGCCCAGGCTAGTCTCAAACTCCTGGCCTCAAGCAATCCTCCCACACTGGCCTCCCAAAATGCTGGGATGACAGGCATGATTCACCACACTGGGCCTAAGAAACCCTGTTTTCATGCAACTTTAAGATCGCACAGCAGCATCCATGTGAACACATGCATTAAATGAAATCATTGAGATGTATTTTTATTTATCATTTGAGCAGCAGGAATTCTGATTAATGAAACTTCTGTCACTATGACTCCTTGATAATCATAAACCTGTAGTTTTTCCTAATAATGTAATAATCTTTTAAAAAAACTTTTTCAAGTTCAGATTATTTTTCCCATAGTTTGTTTTCACGGTTTTTGAATTCCTTAAACACACCTGAGAGCTTGCATCTCTCCTGTGAGCCCTGCTCCTATTTGAGGTGGGCTTCTGGCTCAAGGAGAGGAAGGTTGCCTTGTTGAGGTTCATTAGAACGTGCCATTTTGGCAACATAGACACTGCTGAACTGCGAGGACTTTCTCTTGGCTTCACTTTTAATGACCCCCACTGGGAACATTTCCTCCTGCCACCACCTGGTCTAAACACACAACCCATGTTTCACTGTTGGCTTTGCAAATAGAAATCATCTTCTCTAACGCCTCACCTGATTAAGTGTGAATCTGCTGCTCGGGCCTCAGTGGGCAGCAGGAGGTTGTGTTTGTTGCCCAAGAGGCTTGTGTGTTTGCAAGGTGCTTTCTCACTGTGCACCCGTGGGCACATACTCCTCTCTGCTCGCCTGTGTCAACAGTGTCCAGGTGGACGTGGATGTGTTCGCGGGCAGTTTCCTTTCCTTACCTGGCTGCTTATGTGAGAGCCCACCCTTCTTCAAACCAGTGGGTGGAATCATAAGGGAAGGGTGTTCACAAGTGGCAACTCTAGCCACTCTAGTAGGTTTGATACTACAGGATGAATGTCCCTCTCGCTCTCTGACCTTGCAGGGTGTCCTCTGTGACTGAGCTGATCCATTCACGCTTAGGATTTGTTTTGCCCACTAATTTATCAAGATGTGATCACCTGTGTGTGGGATGGTGCCATTTCACTGTGACGAATCCACCAAGATGGGAAAAAAATACACCCATTGTGCCTCTGTCCCCCCAATCTTATGGAAAAAAGACTGAAATTGGCAATGCTGCTGCCATGTCTTAATCCCACTTATTGAGCTCACTGCTCGAAGTTTATTGAGGCCAGTCAGAGAATGGGTGTTAGAAAGAAGGAGAGAAGTGGACGTAGGTAGAGGGATGCTCTCCCATTGGACATCCTCACTCAACTGCACCATGATCACTTCCTACCCACAACCAGACAGAGAGTTCCTCAAGCACAGGGACCCCCTCCTTCATACCTGTATTTCCAGTGCCCAACACAGCATCTGCCAGGTAACAGGGCTTCTCAAATGATGCCTGTTCAGTGCACTGGGAGAGAAGCCAGATTTCAAGAATCCTCTGTCTAAGGAAATTCTTATGGTCCCTGCCCTCTCACACTGTAGTCTTTAAATATGCTTGTGTGGCCGGGTGCGGTGGCCCACGCCTGTAATCCCAGTACTTTGGGAGGCCGAGGTGGCTGGATCACCTGAGGTTAGGAGTTCGAGACCAGCCTGGCCAACATGACGAAACCATGTCTTTACCAAAAATGCAAAAATTAACCACGCATGGTGGTGGGCATCTGTAGTAGCTCCTACATAGCTGTAGTCCTAAGTAGCTGGGAGTACGGCTACTTGGGAGGCTGAGACAGGAGAATCGCTAGAACCTGGGAGGTGGAGGTTGCAGTGAGCCAAGATCACACCACTGCACTCCAGCCTAGGCAACAGAGACTCTGTCTTAAATAAATAAATAAATAAATAAATAAACAAACAAATAAATAAATAAGATGTGCTTGTGTTGCTCCTCTGCTTAGAATTCTTCAGGGGCTGCTCACTGCCTGCAGCCTATCCACACTTCTTCACAAAGAAGGAGCTGGCAGCCCCTCCAATGGACCTTTTATCTGCCTCCATCCTGTTTTCCTCCTGGTCACTGCATCACCAACTTAAGGTATGGTATAAAGAACCAGCAGTGCCCTGCCCAAAACACACACATACACACGCACACGCACATGCGCACACACACACTCACAATAAACATCCAAACCACAAACTTCTGCTCTACTCAGTGAAAATGGAAGGAATCCAATTTCATCAATTTCCTTGTCAATCTCATTAGGCAAGGAGGTAGCTCCCAAAGTGATGCATACTCTACTTCTACCTACTTCCCATGCAAAAACCTGTGCAAAGCATACCAAACACAAGCCAGTAAAATAAGCCCAGCCCAGCTGGTGTCTGGACACGGCTGCTTTCCCTGACCCCTCTTCCATCATCTTTTACATGGTCCGTTGTCACTGGCCTCTGCCATTAGAAGTCCTCACTGAACTGCACTGTGGTCACTTCCCAACCATGATCAGACTGTGAGTTCCTCAGATGTAGGGACGTCTTCCTTTACACATGTATTTCCAGTGCCCAAGACAGCGTCTGCCCTGTAACAGAGCTTCTCAAATACCACTTGTTCAGTGAACCAGGGAGAGATGCCAGACTTCAGGAATCCTCTGAAAGGAGGTACCTAGTTCCATTCTTAGAGGTCAAATGCAGAAAACCAAGCAAATGGGATGCCTTTCAATATGTTCAAAATTAAGCAGCAGGGTATTTTACCTAGCTAGTGTTCATTTTCTTTTTAAACAACCCAATCTCTGGTTTGCAAAGTTTCACCAAATAATATTGTAAAAAAAGCACCATCTACTCTCTAATGTCAGTCTACGCGCGGGAGCTTCGTGGAGGGCTCTTTTCATCTAGATCTTTTCCCTGTTAACAAGTAGTTCCTGCCTTTCAGATGCTGGGCTCACCCATCTCTCTGCACAAAAGATTGTGTTTCTAGAGCTGCAGGGGTTCTTTCTAGTCGGAGCTGACCTGGCACAACTGCCAAGTAAATCTGGGTGGCTGAGAGAACAAAAGAGTCCAACCCTTCTGAAGGAATCACACTTCTCAGCTGTTAATCTAAGACAAGCCCTCCTTCTCTGATACTCTAACACATAAAGCACTGATATTTTCCCTTTCAAGGGTTTTATCACAGTTCTGGGTCAGGAACTCTGTCTTCATTTTCTCAATTAGCACTTTACTTCTGCAAGCCTTTTAGCTTTTGTCTCTGGCTAACATAGCTTTTAACCTCCTTTGAATGTCAGATCCTACTGAGCCATTTTTCTTCACTTTGCATCAATTTTTCCACCATTACTGCCTTCATTTTGGCTAATTGCATTTAGTTAATTTGATGCCATTTATATGTACAGTGCCATTTACAGTCAAAGTATTTTAAGTTTTCTAAAACTGCCTGTCTTAAGATTCAATTGAAAGTGTCTCAGATTTGAAGGAGTCCAATTTTATCCAATTTCCTTGTCATTCTCATTAGGCAAGGAGGTAACCGTGGTAGAAGGAGGCCTATTCAACCTATTTAATGGTTATATTCACTGGGAGAAAAGTGAACCACAAAATGGGAAAGGCATGAAGTACCCTTGGCCCAGCCATCAGTCCACTGACTCACTCACCCAAAGAGCCAAGATGGGGAGAATGTAATGAGATTTCCTAGCATCAGTAAATGCCCCCAGGATTACCTTTTGGGAAGCCACTACCTGAGCAAGCAGTGCTCTGTAAGTATTTCCGAGTGGGTGCAGAAGTTCGTGGATTGGGTGTTTACTGTGAGTGTGTATACGTGTGTGTATTTGTGTGTGTGTGTGTGTGTTGGGCCAGACATGGCTGGTTACTTATTTCTTTATTTTTAATTTTTATTTTTTTCTGTTTAGAGACAGGTTCCAGTTCTGTCACCCAGGCTGGAGTGCAATGGTGCGATCATAGGTCACTGCAGCCTCGAACTCCTAGGCTCAAAGTCCTACAACAGACTCTGAGTAGTTGGGACTACAAGCGTGCACACTTATGCTTGGTTGATTTTTTAAAAGTTTTTATTTTGTAATGTCAGTGTCTTGCTGTGTTGCCCAGGCTGGTCTCTAACTCTCTAACTCAACTGATTCTCCTGCTCTGGCCCCGCAAAGTGCTGGGATTACAGGTGTGAGCCACCATGTCCTGCCTACTGGTCCTTTATACTGTACCTCAAGTTGAGCAGTGAAATAACTAGGTGGGTAGCAGGATGGGGGCAGATAAGAGAGCTCACTGGAGAAGCTACCAGCTTTCTGTCCCCCAACCCATTCCTCCCCCACCAATTAATCTTAGGAGGAAAGTAAGGCAGGAGGTGGTGGGAGGGTTGTGAGCTAGGGCATGGTGAGGTTTCTACCTGCTCAAAGGAAATACACTAGACTTTAAATCCTTCCCCAGTGAATAAGAATCCCACGCCACCTTGCCCCACTTCCCCTTCAAGGGTGTGGAGACAGCAAGCATTGTGAATTGTTTCTTTAGTTGTAAAATAAATGAGATGACATAAATATATGCCTGGACTTGTTTGAAAATAATTCAGAGTCAGGGATGACAGACATAAATTAAGTTTCCTATGATCTGATAATTGTTGAAGCAGAGTCATGCATAGAGAGAATTCATTCTATTTCTTTTCCATTTGTGAATATGGTTGAAATTGCCCAAAATAAGAAGTTCAGAAAAAGTATAAGATAAGGCCAGTTGCAGCGGTTCCCACCTATAATTCCAGCACTTTGGCGGATCATGAGGTCAGGAGTTCGAGACCAGCCTGGCCAACATGGTGAAACCCCGTCTCTACTAAAAATACAAAAAATTAGCCGGCTGTGGTGGTGTGTGCCTGTAATCCCAGGTACTCGGGAGGCTGAGGCAGGAGAATTGCGTGAACCCGGGAGGCGGAGGTTGCAGTGGGCGGAGATAGCGCCATTGCATTCCAGCCCAGACAACAGTGAGACTCCGTTTCCAAAAAAAAAAGTATAAGATGAATGCTAATGCATACATCCTTGCCCAATTTGCTGTTTTCAAGGAGGCCAATCAGTGGCCAACTTCAAGGGGCATTAGTGTGATTTGCCCTATGCTTCTTTGTACTAGGGAAAGAAACATTGTTAATTCCAGAAAATAAGGGCACATGTGAATGCCTGTAGTATTTCCCACTCCCCTAAATTCACAGACATTAGAAGCCCTCCCAGTAACACAGCCTTGGAATCAAAGAGAATCTGCAAAGCCATGCAGCCGAAGTGAACTCTGTGCTACCTGTGTGATCCTGAATGGGTCCCGTCTTGCTGGTCAACACACTCCACTTGAGCTGCACGTGATTGTCATGTTCCCAGTGGCAGAAGGTCTTGTGAGAGCCCCAGCCAAATTCACAGTTAAAACCGTATGTTGGAAACTCTTCAGTGGGTGGGAAGTAAAAACAAGAGACAAACAGAGAAATACACATCTGATCATTTAGGGTCACAAAGGGCCTTCATTCATTCATGGAAAGCACGATTTATACAACTTTATGTCAGTTTGAAAATTCTGGGAAAGCCAGGATTACCAAGAAACCAAAAGATGCATGGAGATGTCAAAATGTTTGCAAAATCACATTTAGTAATTTCTTTAAAAATCCAGCTTTAAAAGGATTATGGACTGCCTGTCAAATTGGGTTTACATAAAATTTCCAGGAAGGCTATTTTCTAAAGCACGTATATTACATTTGCAACACTCTCCCCATTTCCACAGTATTTAATATGAAAGCCATTCTGTTCTTGAGGATAAATCATATAAGTTGATACCCACCAATGAAAAGAATCTTAATTAGAGATTGACCCATGAAGCCTCAAAAGTGGAAAGTAACTTGGCGAAATGCCTCACCCGGGAGGTTTTCTCTATTTCCACCTCACCAGTTCATGCTTCAGGTCTTTAATGTCAGGGTTAGAATCTCTTAAGCATTTTAAGATTATTTTTTTTCTTCCATGCTTTCTATAAAGTCGATTAATTTAAGTATAAATTTCTGCTTTTTTAATTTCTAAATTTACATATAAATTGTTCACCCGGCTTAAAACCTCAATGCAAGGTCATCTAAATCCAAAGCCCATTTCAGTAGCTACCCGTTTTTTACTTTACTTTTCTTCTTTTTTTAATGTTCAAAAGGCTTCCTCAGGAATCTGAAAAGACAGCGTGAATGAATTCACGGGAGTGACTTGCCTTGTGTGTGCCCTACAAGGTGCTGTTGGACTGTGGTGTTTTTAAAATCCACAGCCTGACTTTTTTACGCAGCCTCTTTTTGAAAGGAGCTGAACTTTTAAGTATGGGAAAAATGAAATCATCGCTACTTATCCCAAGTATGACTGTTGTTTTCGTAAACATAAGCTAACAATAAAAAAATTCTAAAGACGAAATTCTCAGGTTTCTGCCCCCTCCTTTCATCTTCCCTGTAAAGAACGAAGCCCACAGACGCAGCTGCTTTCCCCGGTGACGAACGGCCTCCAGGCTCATCACTGAGTGTAGGCAGTCCACGAGATGGCAGCATTGAAACAAACAGGGAGGCGCCTAGGGCGTCTGGCCCGTTGAACTTAAAAATAAGCCTCAAAAGAATCCCTATGAACAATAAGGGAAGTCTGGTATTAGATGGTGTATTAGGGTCAGGCCAAGACCTTATCTCCTTTTGAGCTTCTCTTTAACTTGCTCGTGTTTAATACAAAGTATCTCGCTTTCTGCTCTGAGCCTGGTCTCCACAGCCCCTCCCCCAATGGCAGGAGGAATTTTAATGGGAAGATTTATGGAATAGATAAGAATGGTTTACTTTGCCTTTTTAGTTTGTAAGGAACCCTTTTCTAGGGCTAATGTCAAATTTTGGAAGGAATTCGCCATAAGAACTATCAAAAAGGAGCAGTCTGGATTCTCCCAATGATGCTGTGACCTCCCAAAGGCTAGACAGAGCCAGTTGGGGAAAGTAAACTAGTAAGCTCTGTGATGTGTCTAACATGAGTACTTACATTTAGTGCAAAAAGGCTATATTTTTCACAGCTATAGTGTCATCGGAGAGATATATTTCAGGTTTAGTCTATCATAGCCATGAAACAGGACTTCTTAAGGCATGGGAAACCTGCTCCAAAATTTACCATACTTTTCTGCAGTAAGATTGAATTATGTAGATGAAGTACAGTCAACTGAACGGTGACTGAATGATTGAGCCACCTTGGATGCCAACGCCCACGACCCTGAAATGTATTGTTGCATAATCTCATGTTAGAAAATGTTAATATCGGAACATGTTAATGTGTGTGTGGTATTGATTTTTCTGCTTATATACACTTTATAAAACATGCACATTCAAGATAATGAAAGCCACCCCAGCACACACAGTTCTGCCTATATTTACCTTGTTCATGCATTACATTTATTATCTATAGAACAGAAAACGACATCATCCATTATTGTGGCTATTAATATTCTGATGCTATCATAAAATGTAGGAACTTGGATATTTTTGAAATGACCAGGACATGGAACCACTTTGCCCGAAAAAATGTTTCAGGCACTTCTTCTCGCTTCAGAGAATGACAGTCTGCCTTTACCTTCCAGTGTCCTTCCTCATCCTATACATTTAACAAGGTGAATTGCTCTAACTTTTTGTATTTTACTGCCCTTTTATTCTCTTGTCTTGATCACGTAACTTGTGGCAATTTGGTTACTTAAAGGATATGTTTTTAAATCAATGCCTTTTGTTGGGGAGGGTTATGGAGTGACCTTTCAGCTTGGCTAGAAAGACAAACACACAAACTACCCATAAACATTTATAGAAAGGAAAAAGAAAGAGAGAAGGACAGAGGAAAGGAAAAAGGGAGAGAGAAAAGAAAAGAAAAAAAGCAAATGAATGAATGAAACAAACATATAGGACTACTGACGTTTACGTTTTCAAAATATTACCCAAGCCCTGGAGGGGCACACAACTCTCATTAAATTCAATGGGGGTAATCCAGCTAAATCCCTTCTTGACTCTTAAAAATAGCAGGAAACAATATTCTGAACTTAAAACAAATTTATAGCCTCTGAGAGCAAGTACCAGCTGTGCTTGCCAAGCCCATCTTGCCTGAAGTTGGATCATTAGCACCACATGTATGCATAAGGATTTAATTTTTAAATCTGGTATTCCAAACTTCTATACAGCAGATTAACTCACTTATTCATAGACTAGTCTTTCAGTCTAAACAAGCAGAGGTACTCAGGCCCATACAATCATAGGTGATGAATATACTCCGAGCTGCTGCAGGAATGCTGGAGGAGCCTCAGAGGGTTAGAGCTCTCGCCAGAGAGAACTGGATTAAAAATATAAGGATCCCATCACTTGCTGGTGGAGGGTTAACCAGCTTTTCGGCATCTGATTACATAAAAGTATATACATATTACATGCCCATGGAGTTTATTATGTTGATGAGAATCAGCAAGATGAAATCGTAAGACTCTGAGTTGAGTCTATAATGGCAAAATGGAATTATGATAAAGGTTTTGAGGTCTCATTGACTGCTGCTTGTGACGACACTTGAAGAATCTGAATCCTGCAGAACAGTGTGGATCAAAGTATCAGGAGGCTTGGGCCACTAGGTCAGCTCTTCAGAGTCAGACCTGACCCCTGGCTGAAGCGTGCTCAAGTCCCCGTGTAATATTCTGGGCACTGACTTAGCCAGGAGGTTACAATCAACAGAACTCCTTCCAGGAAGGTCAGACAGTCCATTCGCCACAAACAGAGACTTGGAGTCCAGATTCATGACGTAGACAATGGAGAAACAGGAAAGCAAGTCAATTTGCAAAGGACTCTGCACTGACTGTGAAATTCAAACCGGGTCAGACCACCCAGATCAGTAGACCCGTGTGGTTTGAACCGAACTTGTTCAGAGGGTGATAGCAATAGGTCCTACTGTTGTAATTTGCACACCTGCCCTCTGACCACAGTAGACTCTGTGACAGGAACGACTGGCCACTCTGAGAAGCCATCCCTCAAGTGACCTTGAGATTGTGCACAAATCAAATATGTTAACAAAACCACTCCTGCTCTGACAATATTGACCTTCAACATTCAGGGAAGATTACCTAGATTTGGAATCTGATATAACTTTCCATTTTCTACACAGCTCTTGTTCACTTCTATTTTTTTTAACGATCCCTACCCCCTTTCATAGTCAAGGAGAAGAGGGATGAGATGAAATAAATTAGCTGGCAACTTCATAGTGGCTTTAATTACCTCTCTGGCAAGAGAAGAAACTGCAACAACAGCTAAAAGGTTTGTTATGTAATCAGAACTTCATTTATTCACCTCACCCCTCTTCCCTATCCCAGAAAGGACATAGAGAACCAACTGGTGGTCATTACCCTTTATCCACAGAAAATCTTCCCAAGGGCTGAGAACTTACAGGAAAGGTACAAAGAAAAGGAGAGGCAGGGCTGTTCTCATGAGTACCTTCAGTTATGGGAGGTGCCCGCACAGTCTTTGAAAGCCACATTTTACAACTTAAGATGTGTGTAGGACTACACCATTTTCTGAATTTCGGCAGTGACTCTTCTGTTTCATCTCTTGGTTTTGTAGGGGGTGTCTGGGCTGTGTGGTAGCAGGAATTTTGTCAACCTGAACATGCTACAGGGCAGCTGGGGGTTAAGTTCGACCGAAGAGAAGTTTGTTTTGCAGTTTAATCAGGTCAACAGTGACAGCGTCCTTTAAGAAAGCATACTAATTAGGGCGGCCCTTTCTACTTTCTGCCTCGCTGGGTAGTGTCATACCGTTGAGGAAACATTGATATACACCACACGCCCCATTAATAAATGACTGCAGAGGCCAAGGCTGAGAGGGCTTCAATAGAGGAAATGGGAGAAAGCTGGAAAACTGACCTGCTCACCTTACTCTAATGATTAACTTTAAAGTATTTAAAACCTCTGATTACTTATACTGACTGTTTCCCTTCGTGTATGTCTGCCGGGAAGAATTTTACAGGATACTAACTAAACACAAAGGCCAGCGAGAGGAAGGCCACCGTTTAACCGTGACTGGCCCCTGATCGACAGCAAACCAAGGGCTTTAAAAGTCGTTATGCTTTTCTATTAATAAAAGGATGAGGAGGTGCTGTTCCCAAGGGTGTGCTTCTCTCCGTGCACAATTATAAACTGCGGTTTCCTGAACCCCGTTTCATGGCACGCCCACTGGAAACGCTGTTGTAAAACTGCCAACTCCATGGCAGGCAAAACTGACAAACTTTGCCTGTCTGGGTTTTGCAGGATTGCGATGAAAATAAATAGTCGGGCTGCGCTGCCTGTGAGATTTCCTTCTCCTGTAGTTTGCAAACACAATCCATGTCCTAGATGTGCTGCGTTTAAACAAAGTATGTTACTCCGTTCCTTCAGTGGAGAGCTGGGATTGTCACCATTTGGCAATTACTGATGGAGAAGGAAATCTCACTCCCTGCTGCATATACATGTGGATGAAAGGAAAGCAATATTTATGGCTCATGCTTGGAGACCAGATGCTGTGTGGCATCTCTCCTTCTAGGACTTTCAGGGAAACTGAAAGCGAGGAGCGCAGCCGTGGAGAGGAGAGAGGTACATGGAATCTGCCACATTTCGTATTTTATTTGATACCTGATTGTATGGTGCTGTCTATGACCGTGGGCTTTTCTGTGGCCAGCACAGTGGTGCCACCTGAAAAACAAAAACAGCAACATGCAAAAATAAGAGAACGGTAGCGAATATGCAGGAGAAAAATGTACACTTACAAATGTCTATCAGAGGCAAATATTTTCCATAGAAAAAGCCTTTTAATTTCAGTGGTAGCAATTGTTTCCCTTCAATTTTGTTCATCACAATATCAAATTCAAATAAACCATTTTTTTACCTAACATACTTCTTTTAAAAATTTACAGATAAAATAATTGTCTAAATTAACAAATAGAAGTTGTATATATTTATGGCACACAATGTGATATTTTGGTACACTTAGTGGAATGGCTAAATCAAGCTAGTTCACACATGCATTACTTCATAAACCTATTTTGGGCTTTCTTTATGGTGAGAACACTTTAATCTCTTAGCAATTTTCTTTCTTTCTTTCTTTCTTTCTTTCTTTCTTTCTTTCTTTCTTTCTTTCTTTCTTTCTTTCTTTCTTTCTTTCTCTCTGTCTCTTCTCTTTCTTTCTTTCTTTCCTTCTTCTTCTTTCTTTCTTCTTTTCTCTTTCTTTCTTTCTTTCTTTCTTTCTTTCTTTCTTTCTTTCTTTCTTTATGGTGAGAACACTTTAATCTCTTAGCAATTTTCTTTCTTTCTTTCTTTCTTTCTTTCTTTCTTTCTTTCTTTCTCTCTCTCTCTCTCTCTCTCTCTCTCTCTCTCTCTCTTTCTTTCTTTCTTTCTTTCTTTCTTTGAGATGGAGTCTTACTCTGTTGCCCAGGCTGGAGTGCAGTGGCACAGTCTCAGCTCACTACAACCTCTGCCTCCCAGGTTCAAGCGAGTCTCCTGCCTCAGCTTCCTGAGTAGCTGGGATTACAGGCATGTGCCACCATGTCCAGATAATTTTTGTATTTTTAGTAGAGACAGGGTTTTACCATATTGGCCAGCCTGGTCTCGAACACCTGACCCCAAGTGATCTGTCCACCTCAGCCTGCCAAAGAGCTAGGATTACACGTGTGAGCCACCGTGTCCAGCCTGCAATTTTCAAGTAGACAACGTATCCTAACACCTTTCTTTACAAAGCATCCAGAAGGCACCCAGAAATTGGGACTTCACTCCATGGGCACTCACTGATTCCCAGACAAAACACAGCACACAATTGCAACAGTGAAAAGCAAAGGCCTCTGCAAAAGCAAAGTCACCTCCTTGGTGACTTGGGTATTAAACTTGACCTCAACCTCTAATCTTTAAATCGTTTTCCAAGGTTTCAGGTGTGTGCCTTCAGGGAAGTTGCAAGGCTAGTCCCCACAATCTATTTTAAAAACTGGAAAACTGAGGGTTTAAAGTAAGGTGCTATGGGTTCCTCCTCTGTTTGGCGACTGGAGCTGTTTACTTTCCTCAAGGACAAATACTCTGCCCTGTATGTGGTTTGGAGAAACTGCAGGAAGCAGCAGGAAAAGGAGAACAGGAGAAACATTTCACAGTCCCAGTTCTTGTGAACAAGAACAGGAGAAACTTGTTCACAGACTGAACAAGTAACACCCTGAGTGCTGTGAGTTTCCAATGAGTGCAGGCCTACTGCATCTCACTGGTCAGGGGACAGGCTGTAACCTTGTCTATTGAGACTTAGCTTCACCTTCTCTTCCACCTCTTTACTCACTCACCCATTTCCCACTGTTCATCATTATACTTCTGTTGTAAAGCAGTGTTCTTAAACTTGCCCAACCATAAGAATCACCAGAACGCTTGTTGAAATTGCAGTCTCCCACCCACCTGTCCTCTCCAGACCTAAATGAGAATTGGAATCTCTAGGCGTAAGGCTTTGAAATCCGTATTTTTTTGAGACAGAGTCTTGCTGTCACCCAGGCTGGAGTGCAGTGGCGCCATCATGCACTGTAGCCTCAAACTCTTGGGCTCAAGGGATCCTCCTGCCTCAGCTTCCTGAGTAGCCAGGACTAGGTGTGTGCCACCAAGCCTGGCTGATATAGATAGATAGATAGATAGATAGATAGATAGATAGATAGATAGATCTATCTATCTATCTATCTATCTATCTATCTATCTATCTATCTATTTTTTTTTTGGAGATAGGGATCTCGCTATCTGGCCCAGGCTGGTCTCAAACTTCTGACCTCGAGTGATCTTCTCGCTTTGGCCTCCCAAAGTGCTGGTGTTACAGGTGTGAGCCACCATGCCCGGCCAAAATCTGTATTTTTGAAAGCTTCTCAGATGAGTCTTATAACCCACTGAGTTTGGGAAACAGTGGTTTGCTGTTTATTACATAGGTGCTTGAGAAAGCTGTTTCTCCTTATGTCTATCCATGATGCAGATTATGGTTGGAAGTAACCTGTTATATCCAGGTACAGTATTGAACCAATTCAGGGTAAGTGAATGGGGTGGGCCCATGACTACCATGGAAAGTTCTGGAGGTGGTTACAGGGTGCCATAATTGTGCACTTCCCAATAATATAATTCAATAAAGATTTGTGATGATCTTTATTCGGGCCAGGCCTATCTGGCAGTTCCCACAGATCAGAAATCATGTTACATTTCCATAGCATGAATCAGAGAGCCATAAAATTGTGCTCTTGGAATGGTCTTAAGATTTCTAGGCTAATCAACTGCAGCACCAAGTCACGGTACCTCAGTTCTCCCAGCAAATATGCTGGATGAGTGGTCACATGTGTGCAAGGCCTCAACAAGGCAGGCACTAGGAAGAAGGAATTATATGTACTATGGGTTAAGAAGGTGAATCTATAATGGCAGAATTGGAGGGAGGCCAGAATACATTAGCATTCTGTTCCCCATGGTCTTATAGGAGAAAGATTCAAGGTGAAAATTTGCTTTTTAAAACTGATATGCATAATCGGTTTTGCTATAAGTTGGGAAGCAAATGCCACTGTTGGGTATACACAGCTCCAACGTAAAATTTAGCTGACTGGTGCCTTTGAGGCCAAGTGTATTATCTAATGACTTCCCAGGCATTTGCAAATGAGTAACTTCAGGGAAGCATCTTCACCTTGGCTAGGAGGTCTGGGAGAGCACATTCTACTCCTTTCCATGCATTTGGTAGAGTACACCTGGAATTCGGCGTGGTTTTTAAGTAACAAGCATTTCACTACAATATTTCTCCCCTCTAGATACAGGTAGGTCACCCTAGGAGAATAAATTAAATCAACACCTGTGCAAAGGAACAGACAACCCCTAAAGACAGCATTGATCCCAATTTCCATGTTCCACCTATCAGGGTTAAAGCAATAATGCTCTTGGTTTGGTTTCATCACACTAAACATCCAACGTTTGTAGTCCTGACAGCAAAGCCTGTGCCAGAATTAGCAAAAAGGATGCAAGGATGCAAAATTGCTCGTGAGCATAGGAGATGTGTAGTTTCCATATAAAAAGGTGTCTGGGTTAGGTGAGGTTTTTGCCCCTTGCAAACAATGGCATGTGAGCACATCCATTTTCAGAAAAGAATAGCAAATAGTTTTGTAGAGTACAAAATGTTTTAAAAAGAAAAAGATTGCCTTCTTGCAATACATGGATATGAAGCATGAAAATGTCTTCTAAAATGACTTCTTCTTGATGGAGGTGTGGGACAGGCCTTATTAACATCCTCAGCGGTTCTTAATATATGAGAGTATTTATGGAATTATTGAGACAAACATGCTGATCTGGGAATAACTCTTTTTCGCCATGGTAATATGTAAAAAGAAAAAATCAGAATGAACTTTCTTCTATCTACCAAAGAAATAATTTAAACGCTGTAGGTAAAGCAAAACCTTACAGTTTTGAAAGGTTGTCAGTGTTTCCACTATAAATGACCCATTTTCTGTGGTTTGTAACTTGCTGCCATACACAATTTGCTCCAGGCTAACATACTCGCCCTATTTCATTCAAAGGCTTCAGTTTCAATTGATTCAGTCATGAACTAATGCAAAAATGAGAAGGCTGGTTGTTCTGATATGAGGAGTAAATCTAAGGCTTTGTTTCTAATCAATATTAACTGACTACTTTAGGGTTTATGAAGAAAAGAACCCCTTCCACAAGAGGGCAATTGAAAGGGTACACTGGGATCCTGCAATCATTCCTTTTTTATGAGAAATTTCACTATGGATGTGTGACGGGGTCTGTAAAAAGCCTGAGGTTTGTGGCAGAATGTTTACAGGCAACCCCGGGAAGCTTGCAGAGGAATTGGTTCATGGAATAGTACTCTGTTTTTTAGATCAGCGGTTGAGCTTTCAACTTGAACTTGACATCTTACACAGAAAATGCCTCTGCATTAATTAAACTAAGTTTTGTGGCTTGTGGCTGCTTGTATACAAGCATTCAAAAGTTCATAGCAATGTGACATATATTGGCCATATGAATGTAAATGATTATTCTGGAAATTTGGAGAGAGACAGCTTTAGGAGGTGGGATTTAAATGCAAACCCAGTTCATAGTACCAAATTTCTGGGATAGATTTTCAATTTCTTTTCTTTCTTTTACTCTTTATTCCATCTCAGAGTGTGGAGCTCTCTCGCTCCTTCAGAGGAGAGCTTTTGAAATAATTGGAAATGCACTGTAGGACATTTCCTTCCAGATTTTGCACGACTGCATTAGCCAATAACATGGCCTTATTATGAAGTTACATGGTAACGCCTTCAGTTTTGCCCATGGAAATTAATTATGTGGGCTCTCCGAGTCCCTTCTGGGTAAAAACACAGACCTGCATTCAAAAGCTCACTTTTAATCTAAAATGAAAGTCAGATGCTATTGAAACTGCATTTTGACCCAGGGAGCAGTAAAAGTCCCACGATACCTTTTGCAACCACAGGGTGAAAACCCTAGTGCCTCGGCCAATTTCCAAATGGTGTAATCCCATTTCTCCACTTGCCTAATACTTCCTCCGCCATTCCAAGTGGAAGAGAAGGTCACTTCCTAGCTTTTAGGGTTTTAGGAGATTAGAGAGTAATACTCTAGATTAATTAGTGAGACATTTAGCACACAACATCGCTGATGTGTTTGCTGGCTGGTGGTGATGTGAAATAGCAACTAATTCTGCCTTTGTAAATGTTAATGTATAATGATTTACCAAATCCCAACCTAAAAGCCGCGCTTCAAATATAAGCCTAATTTTATCCATTCGTTGGATAAAGGATCCACTCAAAAAAACTTGTCCTCATTAGAAAATGAAAATAAACATTCTGAAGTGTGTGGTTATGTAGGGGCAGTGCATGTGTTATGAGGGGAGGGGGGCCTGAAAATAAGGATCAGTTTAGCATATTTAGCCATGGAGAAATTCTTATTCAGTTAAGATAATCCTAGCCTTCGGCTCTGAAAATGGCTCAAATTGTTGTTTCAGATGGTTGTGGCTACTAAGAACAACTCGTCTATCCAGATGACATGATGAAATGAAGATGCACGTGTTCTGGCAAGGCAGCTTCTATTCCTGGGCAGCTCTTTGCCATGCGGAGTTATAAGCACACACACAGGCGTTAGCCGGTCCCGACTACGACATGAACTGAAATGGTACAGCAATGGGATGAAGATGGTTTCTGCACCTGTGAGCTGGAAGTCATCACCTGTTCCACTGTGGCAGTTGGCCTGGTCGTCATCACATTCATCCACTGGGTTCCCGTTGGGAGTGGTCGGTCCAGCTGTAGGGGCTGAAACAAGATCCAAGGATTATTATCTCACACCTTGGAAACGTACTCTCAAGCCTCTGGCTGTTAGATCTGCTAACGCTTAAGCAGAAAACTTTAATCTGCAGTAAGAAGGCCAGGGGCATGGTTTGCCTCTCTTTCAGGAGCTAGATATGCTTGGATTCTGCAGAATGTACAATAGCAGAGCCTGCTTTGTTTTGGTATTTGATTCATATCTGCTGAGTAGAGTTGGCTGCCTTAGCATTTTATACATTGTTATCTACATAAACATCCTTCTTCTGAAAAGCTCTTGAGTTCTCACTGGTTATTTCTTCAGGACCCTGGAGTTGAGAACTTTGAAGATAGAGATTTTGCTTGAAATGTTTTCCCTTTCATTTTCGAGGTGTTAGAGCACTCACTTGTCATAAATTCTTTTATATTCTTAGTACTGACTAAGTTTGCTAAGTTCATATTATAATTCTTCCCCGAAGGGAGTCCACATTCACATTTAATGCAATAGTGCTTTTTAAAACCAAACCAAACCAAACAAACAAAAAACAGTGATTCCATTTCTCTTTAAGTAGCTTCTCAAACTGTGAGCCCTCTCTCCAGGGCAGGTGTGTGAGAGAAGTTGTCTCAGATATCCCGGGGTCATTTTACATGAACTCTCATAGGACTGCATTCCACTGTTCACAGGTATGCCTGTATCTCTGAATTTGCAGTTGAAAGGTATCCAGCATTAATCAAAGACTGCTTTTGAAGTCCTTTAAATTTCGTTCAGCTATTTTTTTTCAACCTGTTACTCATTTTTGCAATCTGTTTAATATTTTACAGTTTTTGGCATTACATTTCACTTTATAAGACTTGAGATAATGGATAGTTCTCGTGATGTCTGAGAACCATACAAGATGTTGGTGGCTGGGGGCTGTTCTCTTCTGGCCAGTAGGAATGTGTCAGTAACTGCTGCTTTCTCAGTAAAAATCTGACATTCTTTGAATGGTGCTGAAACACCAAGCAGAGTTACGGCACATGGAGAAACAGAGCTAAGTTTCAGCTTCTTCAACGGCCCAAAGACGCACACCAGTAATAACTAAGAAGTTACCATGTGCAAATAACATACATGCCATTCAGGCCTGCAATCCAGACTTTTTTGTAAAACACATACACCCATATTCTGGCCTCTATGTATTGCTCTCATTGAATCAGTAGCATCTTCTCTGGCAAGCCAGACAGTTGTCTTTCTTCCCTACGCTCTCCTTGCTCTTGATAATGTGCTACCTTTAAGTATTTAAAACTCTATTCATTTTGCTGATTTTTCTGCATTCATCAAGCTGTTTCTAAAGGAGGAGTTCCGCATTATAAATGGCCTGAGGTAGTGGCTAGCTAGATTCACTAGATTCAACGGAAAATAAAGAGGAAGCGAATGATATGTATGTTCCAGTTTTACTATTTGAAAATATATTATCTTCTGGGGTTCTTTATCTCTTTTTTCTTTTTTTGATTTGGAGTTTTGCTCTTGTCACCCAGACTGGAGTGCAATGGCGTGATCTCAGCTCACTGCAACCTCCGCTTCCCTGATTCAAGAGATTCTCCTGTCTCAGCCTCACGAGTAGCTGGGATTACAGATGTGAGCCACTGCACCCGGCCTGTGGTTCTTTATTTCTTAAATATAAGTGCTAGCACCTAGGACAGACACTCTGGGAGGCTGGAGTGGACTGCATCTTTCTCCTGCATTCCCTTAGGTGTCTCCCCTAGAACAAGGCACAGAGTAGATATTTAATAAGGGCCTGTTACTGATTGAAGGGAGAAGAAAAGCATTTCTTTTCACCAATCATATCAAAAAGCTTTGACATTACTTTCCCCAGATATTTGTTTCACACACGGCCCAGGGCAATGTCCTCACTTTTGTGAGTGCTTGGAAACATCTGTAGGCAAATCCCTTCACCGATCATTTCTACCTCACTACAGAAGTGACACTAGAGAGTGGAAGCTCTAACTTCCCAATGAGTCCTCCTTACCTGCTGCCTAGACAGGGCTGATTTGTCAAGACAGGGAAATTGCAATAGAGAAGGAGTTTAATTCATGCAGAGACAACTGTATGGGAGATAGGGGTTCTATTATTAATTGGGGTTGAGGTTTTGAAGGATAATTTGGTGAGCAGGGGTTGGAAAGTGGCAGGTGCTCATTGGTCAGGTCTGAGATGAAATCACAGGGAGTCGAAGGTGTCCTCTTGTGTTGAGTCAATTTCTGGTGGGGACACAAGGCGGGATGAGCCAGTTGATCTATCTGGGTAGTGCCAGCTGATCCGTCAACTACAGGGTCTGCAAAATATCTGAAGCCCTGATCTTAGATTTTACAACAGTGACATTATCCCCAGGAGCAATTTGGGGAGGTTCAGAATTTTGCAGCCTCCAGCTGCATGACCCCTAAACCACAATTTCATTTTTTTCCCCTAAACCATAATTTCTAATTTTGTGGCTAATTCGTTAGCCTTGCAAAGGCAATCTAGTACCCAGGCAGGAAGGGGGTTTGTTTTGGGAAGGAGTTGTTATTGTCTTTGTTTCAAAGTTAAACCACAAGTTCCTCCTAAAGTTAGTTTGGCCTACGCCCAGGAATGAACAAGGATAGCTTGGAGGTTAGAAGCAAGATGGAGTCAGTTAGGTCAGATCTCTTTCACTGTCATCACATTCTCATTACAATTTTTGCAAGGGTGCTTTCAAAACTTCCAGCAGGCTATCTTTTCAACCCTCCATTCACTCCACCTCCTAAATCAGCATCGCCTTCCAGAATCCATGCTACAGATTTCGCATCCTGAGAGCAGACTCCCTTTCCAGATGACCACGTTTCTCTGTGAATTGAACGAATGCATCTGCAGTGAATGGAGTCCACCCATCCCTTCTTTTTCTTGGCATCCTTTGCCAAAGTCCTGGCACATGGACATTCTTGGTCTGTGTTGATAGTGCCTGGATAATTTAGGTGTCTGGGGCATGACTACAGATATGGAAACAACCACACAGTAAAGAATGGGAGAAAATGGCCTGCTTTTAAATAAACACATTGAAAAAGTAGCTATGAATTATTCAGGAGTATGGTGATTGATAGCTGAAGATTCTGTCATGCATAAGTAAAGTTTTATGGTATTTAATGTGCTCAGGAATATAATTATATTTGGTAGCTCAAGACACAAATAATTGTAAAATTGCAAGAAGGTGACATTAAAACGCATTCTTCAAAACAACTGTGAGCATATATGCTCGGCTGATTAACATCTGGATGCCAACAATAGTCATTCTTGAAGCTAGGCTGGAGCAAGACCTCTATGGGGATAGAAAAACTGGTGTAGGTTACTCATTTATGTTCAAATCTAAGGCAGATGGGGATTCTAGTGCATACATATATTAAACGGTACAATAACCAACTCAAAACATTCATTTCATTCATTATATGTTTAAAGAGAGTGCAGCCATGGGGTCAGCGTGTGCACTGAATTTGTACTTGATATGACCTTCATATAATAATCTAACTGTAGGCAGTAACGTCACTCTACTTTCAGACACGTTGTCTCATGTAAAGTTCTGTTTCTCTGCAGCAGCCTAAGATATTCATCCAGGATAATGTCTTGATGTCTTAGTCTGTCAAAGGCTGCTTTCTGTTTCTATGTGCTGGTAATCAACACTGCAGACAGAAACTGGATCAGATATCGACCTCTAAATAATATTTAAAAGGCAAAAGTGGTTGCCAGGGGTTGAGGGAAGTTGCCTGCTTACTGGGTAAGGGGTTTTCCTCTGGAGTGATGGAAATATTTTGGAACTAGAAAGAGGGGAGTTGGTACGACTGAATTGTAAATATGCTAAATGCCACCGAGTTGTGGTGAATTTTATGTTATGTGAATTTCAACTCTATAAATTATCTCTTTTTTTTTTAAGTAAAGAGAGACAATCTCATATAATCCAAGGAGAGTCATGCAAACAACCCAAGACAAAAGTAGGACTGTGAAGGTGCTGCCTCGTGACACCTGTCAGAGCTTTGAGCCTCACTGATGGGCAGGCACCGAGATATGGAGAAAAGGGTAAAGGGAAAAGGGTAGGCAATTTGCAAAGGCGCCATCAGGGACATAAATGCATGGAAGAGGAAATTTAAAAAGGAATGAGAAGTAACTCTGGAGATCATAATTACCTTCCACTTCACAGCCCAGCAGCTCCATTCGGAGCCCCAGTCCGCCATGAGTGGCTCTCTCGGGGTAGATCCTGATGAATCGCGTGGAGAGAGCTGGAAAAGTCCGCAGCTCAGGTGTGTCATAGTTGTTGTTGCCCTCAAAAGACTGTGAAGCATGAAAAACACAGGGCATTAAGAAAAAAAAAGTGCTCCCCTTCAGCAACTGTTTCTTCCCTCCACCAGGACTCTGAATAGGCCAGAGAAAAAGGCTTCATTCTACCACTTTGTAAATGGTGGACATCTCTTTCATAAATGAGAAAGGAAACAACAATGAAAGCTTCTCTAAGAAGTGACAGATGGCATTTGTTTATTTATTCATTATCATTATTTTTTGAGATGGAGTCTCACTCTGTCGCCCAGGGTGGAGTGCAATGGTGCAATTGCACCTCTCTTCAGTCTCACCCTCCCTGGGCTCAGTGATCCTCCCACCTCAGCCTCCTGAGTAGCTGGGACTACAGGCACCCACCACCATGCCTAGCTAACTTTTGCATTTTTTGCAGAGATGGGGTTTCACCATGTTGCCCAGGCTGGTCTTAAACTTAGGGGCTCAAGTGATCCACTTGCCTCAGCCTCCCAAAGTGCTGGGATTACAGGCGTGCACCACCATGCCCAGCTAATTTTTTGTGGAGACAGGGTCTCACCATGTTGCCCATGCTGGTCTCAAACTCCTGGCTGCAAGAGATTCTCCTGGCTTGGCCTCTCCAAGTGCTGGGATTACAGGTGTGAGCCACTGCTCCTGGCATGAGTTGGCACCTCTTTTGAAGTGTGTTCCTAGCTTGAAGTCCCTGTGACAGTTTTCAGGAGCTTGGCCACCCACTGCCAGTGCTGCTACTGACTTAGTTTCCTTTTCACATGCCCAAATAGATCAAAATCCTTTCTGGAATTCTGAGAAGATGGAGCAACGACTAGCCCTGTTTTCCTTTTCAAGAAATGGATGAGCCTCCTTGTATCCTCTTCTCCAGCATAATTCTTAATCCCATTCCAAATGGGAGAAGGCAGAGCGGGAGGAGGAAAAGAAAACTGTCTCATCATAAGGAATGTCCTTTTAGATATCTAGCATTGCATGATGTTTGATAGAGTAAGGCGTTGTTCTAACTGCTTAAAATCTATGTACTTATTTAATCCTCAGAACAACTCATTGTGTCATCTTCCTATAATATTGAAAAACCATAAAAGTTTCTCAGTTGTTTCTATAGAACCTAATCTATGATTCCTAACACACCTTTCCACTGAAAAAAATCTCTAACGTGAAAAAGAAAACTGATAAAATGGTCCATTTTAGAGCAGCACTTTTTTTTTTTTCTTGAGACAGAGTCTTGCCCTGTCACCCAGGCTGGAGTGCAGTGGCATGATCTTGACTCTCTGCAACCTGTGCTTCTCGTGAGCAAGTGATTCTCCTGTCTCAGCCTCCCAAGTAGCTGGGATTGCAGGTGCACACTAATATGTCCAACTAATTTTTGTATTTTTAGTAGAGATGGGGTTTCACCATGTTGGCCAAGCTGGTTTTGAACTCCTGACCTCAAGTGATCTGCCTGCCTTGGCCTCCCAAAGTACTGGGATTATAGGCATGAACCACCATGCCTGGCCACGTATTTTTTAACTATTCAGAGATTTTAAAAACATGTTACATTTAATTTTCCAAATGAAGGTAAATTCTCCATGAGGTAAATTCTATATTATGGTCCTTTTACAGACAAGGAAACTGAGGCACAGAGTTGTCAAGTCATTGGCCCATGGCCATACACACAGCAAGTGGCAGAGCCAGGACTCAAATCTAGGTGGTCTTAACTGGCGCCCTTAACCACACCACGATGATGCCTCTGCCCTTACAAACCATCTAGTCCAGTCTCCTCATTCATTTATTTATTTTTTTAGAGACAGAGTCTCGCTCTGTCACCAAGGTTGGAGTGCAGTGGTGCGATCTCAGCTCACTGCAGCCTCTGCCTTCAGCTCACTGCTTCTGCCTCACTGCAACCTTAAAGATAACCTTCAAGCAATTATCTTGCCTCAGCCTCCAGAGTAGCTGGGATTACAGGCACCCGCCACCATGCCTGGCTAATTTTTGTATTTTAAGTAGAGACAGGGTTTCACCATGTTGGCCAGGCTGGTCTCGAACTCCTGACCTCAGGTGATATGCCCACCTCAGCCTCCCAAAGTGCTGGGATTATAGACGTGAGCCGCCGAGCCGGCCCAGTCTCCTGATTTTAATAGGTGAAAACACCATGGTCCAAGAAACATCTATGCCCAAGGCCACACATTTAGTTTCATTAATTTGTCTTTAATCTGATGCAAATTGGATGAGTAGACCTGGTAGATCAGATGGAGTGGCTGGCCGGCCCCAGGCCATGCCAGTCAGGAGTGGAGCCATGCCCAGTAGCTGTGTCAAGACATCAAAAATCAGCCTAATATGTGCTTGTTCAGTGGTGGAAATGTCATAACAAAACAGTGGAAGCATGTCAGTGAAGACAGATTGGGTAGGTTGCAACAGAATCAGCGGGTTTCTGAGTTCTAGAAGTAAATTAATTGGCCTTTTCCAACTCAGAAAAGCCTCTAGGAGTTTAAAAATGCATTGCTAATATAGGCCCGCCTCTTCCAATTAAAATTGCTTTCTTTTTTTTTTTTTTTATCAAAAGTAAATTCACTATCAGGGTTCTGCACTCTTTATAGAACTGCAATTGCTGCCAGTAATTGAGACTCTGACACATATTATTGTTAGGCCCAATTAAGTTGTTGTCAGTAAGATACTAATTATAATGAAAATACCATTACTACATATGCAAGTTCTGTCTATGTTAACATACCTCCAAAGATCATAGGAGAAAAGCATTTATATCTATGGAATCCCAGGCTCATCTCTTCATTTTAACTTGAGCAAAGAATTAACACAACGTAAATACATTATAAAAGCTGTCAGTGCTGAGCTGGGAAGAATATTAGTAATGAAAACCCATATGGAACTAGGCTAACTGATATAATAAACTTACTTATGAATTCTTTGTGTTCTGTTGCTAATTGTGTTTTAGAAGATGAGGACTTAGGGTGCTTGGACCTTCTCTCTGTTGCTAAAAAGTCTAGTTAATGCAAAGATTCTGATATAGCTTGCCCATTACACACTATTTTTGGGGTAGAGAGTGAGGAACGGGCATTGAAAATTTAAATCCATCCAAGTGCTGTGGATTTCACAAAACAGAGTGTTCATTTTACTTTTACATAAAAGGTACTTGGCATCTTAAGAGGTAGCCTTCACTTGTAAAATTAAATATAGCATGTTTTAAAAATCTTCATATAATTAAAAACCATGTGCCACTCTAAAATGGAAGATTTTCACCCGTTTCTTTTTTTTGTCTTAGAGATTTTATTTCACTGGAAGGGTGTGTTAAGGAATCATAGATTAGGCTGTATATAAACAACGAAGAAGCTTTTATGGTTTTCAATATCATAGGAAGATGATAATGATGGATAGAATCATATTTTAGAAATAAACCCCAACACGTTCAACCAATCTTGAATTGAGTGTTTTGTGAAAGTTGAAAGATGTGTGTTGGCTTCTCATGGAATTCAGTGCTGGATTTACTACAGAAGAGTGATAGCTTTAGATCTGGTTGCAGACGCATGAATTCTATAGAGACAGGGAAGCACGTGATGCATCCTATCAAAAGCATATGGTGACTTGTTTTCTTTCTCTCTCAGAGCCCTAGTGTTGAAGAACATGTCACACCAGCACACGCCGCCGTCGCCAGCAGCAGGAAGTTGTTGATTTGCAGCATATTCACACTTTCTGATGCAGTCAGAGCTCACTGCTTCTCAGAAAAGATCCACTCAGAAGGGAACTCCAGTTTCTGATTTTTTTTTTTTTTACTTTTACTTCCCCCCAAACAAGGCACAAAAGGGGAAAATGAACTGGAGACAAGAAAAAAGGTAGCTGCACAGAGAGATAAATATAACACTGAAAATATTTTAGAAACCACAAGTTCAGGAAGGGAGAGATGGGAGAGAGATTCAGATATTTCTGATGGCACCAACCCTGTCAGTGGCCTGCTGCGCTAGTGGGAGCCGGCGGTTTCCTTGGAGGCTTCACATCTGGAGAGAGTGGGAGCTGGTGGCACAGCCTGGCTTCTTTGCTGCCTGCAATGCCTCTGGCCTGAGTCACTATATTAAGCCAAATTCCCACACTTGCTTAGAGAGGGAGTGAGGGTAATATCCCCTTCAATAAGCTAAAATCTGTTTTTCACAAGAGGAGTAGGTCGTGGCCAAAGAAGGGATGGAAAGGCTAAGACCAAAAGGTCAGTTGTGTTGGTATGAGAAATATCATTGCTGAATATAATTCCCACACTGCACACAGAACTTAAACTGCTGGTTGTCTGTAGGTTGGTCCATATTTGAATCCTAAACCAGCTTCTGGGCCACCCAGCACACTCCAGGGTATCCTTTCCAAGTTGCTGTTGTATGCTGGCAAATAAATTTAGCCATCACTCTAAGTAAAATATAATGACTGAGGTAGATCTGTTTGGTTGAAAAAAATTATACCGTGCATTTTGGTGAATGTTGGAATATTTTTGTGTTGAGATTTCCTTTTCTTTTCACTGGATTATCAAAAGCCTACTGCATCTTAAAAGGGTTCAGTGTGTAAAGAAATATACTTAAAGCCAGGCACGGTAACTCACGCCTGTAATCTCAGCACTTTGGGAGGCTGAGGTGGGCGGATCATGAGGTCAGGAGATTGAGATCATCCTGACTAACATGGTGAAACCCGGTCTCTACTAAAAATATAAAAAATTAGCTGGTGTGGTGGCGGACGCCTGTAATCCCAGCTACTCGGAAGGCTGAGGCAGGAGAATGACTTAAACCCAGGAGGTGGAGCTTGCAGTGAGCCGAGATTGTGTCACTGCACTCCAGCCTGGGCAACAGAGTGAGACTCCATTTCAAAAAAGAAAAGAAATATACTTAAGCATTATTCACAATAGCTAAAGGTGGCAGAACTCAACTATCCATCAGTGGGTGAATAGATAAACAAAGTGTGGTATAAACAGACAATGAATATTATCCAGCCTTGTGAAGGATGGAAATTCTGACACAATGCTACAACAACGATGGCCCGTGAAGACATTATCCTAAGTGACATAAAGCAATCACAAAAAGACAAATACAGTATGAGGTCTCTAAAATGGTTTGAATTCACAGAGACAGAAAGTGGAGGTGGTCACCAGAGACTGGGGGCAGGGGGACTGGGAGTTGATGCTTAATAGGTGTAGAATTTCAGTTTTGCAAGATGAGAAAGTTCTAGAGATTGGTTGCACAATATACACATACTTAACACTGCTGAACTGCACACTAAAAAGGTTAAGATGGGAAATTGTATATTATGTGTATTTTATCACAATTAAAATTTTTTTTTTTTTTTTTTGAGACAGAGTCTCACTGTGTTGCCCAGGCTAGAGTGTAGTGGTGCGATCTTGGCTCACTGCAACCTCTGCCTCTCGGGTTTAAGCAATTCTCCTGCTTCAGCCTCCAAAATAGCTAGGACTGCAGGCACATGCTACCACACCCTGCTAATTTCTTGTATTTTAGTAGAGACGGGGCTTCACTGTGCTGTCCAGGCTGGTCTCGAACTCCTGAACTCAGACAATGCGCCTGACTCAACCTCCCAAAGTGCTGGGATTACAGGCGTGAGCCACCACGCCCGCGCCTGGCCCATAATTAAAATGTATATAAAAAAACAAAGCACTTAAACTACAGGTAGGTGAGAGATGGGGGAAGGGCAGACCCAAATGACTGAGTGGTGTCTGCAAGGGGTTCTGAGCACTGGCTGGATAGCTGCTGTCAGCCCCGGGCTTCCCTGTCTCCTGTCTGCCTGTTGAGCTGTCCCTCCTTCCCTCCAGGCAGGGAATGGGACCAGCAATGCAATTCTTTTGCATGTGATCTCAGACATCGCTTTTCAAGCCATATTCCAGTCTTCCTAGAATCAAGGGTCTTACTGACCCCATGACACACCTCCTCTGATGTCCTGGCTGGAAGGAAATAAGAAGCCCTTCACTTTGGAAGGTCGAGATGGGCAGATCACCTGGTCAGGAGTTCGAGACCAACCTGACCAACATGGGGAAACCCCGTCTATACTAAAAATACAAAAAATTAGCCTGGTGTGGTGGCGCATGCCTGTAATCCCAACTACTCGAGAGGCTGAGGCAGGAGAATCACTTGAACCCGGGAGGCGGAGGTTGCAGTGAGCTGAGATGGCGCCATTGCACTCCAGCCTGGGCAACAAGAGCGAAAACTCCGTTTCAAAAAAAAAAATAAATAAATAAATAAAAAAGCCCTTCCTCAGGAGAATGCCAGAGGCCCTTGATGGAAGTTAAGGACGCAAGGGACGACTTCCTGCCAGTCCCCAGCCCTCACCTTTGCCTTGCGTTTGCTGTCGTCCATGATCATCTTCCAGTCGGAGCCGTTGTTGCTGTACCCGATCTTGAACTTTCTCATGAACACCTTGTTCTCTCGGTGCTTCCCACCCTGAATGATGATGCCCCTCACGATCTTCTCCTCCCCCAGGTCTATTTGGAGCCACTCATTGACGTAGGAATGAGGTGCGGGTGGCAGTGCCCAGCCGGAGCGACTGGTTACCAGGCGGATGTTTTCAGGCATCCAGTTTCTGTCCCCTTGGTTGGATGATGTGATCTGGGAGTCAGAAATAAGTCCAGACACCATACCCAACATTCCGGAGCAAGGATAATCTGGGAGGTGAAATGAAATAGATAATGTAAAATGATTTTCTGGGTGACTCCATGCTAAGAAAGAAAATACAACATATGGAATAAAGACATGACTTTGTACCCAATCATATGCAATTTTCAGTCTCTGGATTATTTTACAGTAACCCTTCCCTCCGTCAAACTTTCCTCCTGTGCTGTCAGAATTCCCGTCTCTACACTCACATCCCAGTAAGGCAAATCTTCAATAAAAGATACATTCCCCCCGCTATGAGGTCTTCTAAGTTTAGTATTCATATTTCAATCTCTTTGGTATCCAGAATTTATCCCTGGATCAAGTACTGGCGCTGCTTCAGAGAAGTTCATAGTTTATGATGGATTGGAGATATGCATAGAAGTTATTCCAACAGCAGGAAAGTTGCTAAAACAAAGGTAAAGAGATAGTGATGCAGAGGTAAAGAGAAGAAATGCATGACAGTCTGCAGGGGTAAGAGAGGACCTCCCAGCGCAGGTGATGTTTGAATTGAGTGTGGAAGAATAGTGACCACGATCCCCTGCAACCCTTCTCCCCACCCCTATTTTTAATTGCATTGGGGACTTTCCACAAGAATGTCTCATTGTCATCTCAAATGTACCATCAGCAGACTAAGACAGTCCTTTCCCTGGATACTGCATCCTTTCACTGAACCCTGTCTTTTAATTGGTGGCATCACCAATCATCCAGTTCCTGGCTAGTCATCTTGTCATTTCCGTTTGGCTGCCAAATCCTGTTGTGTTTTTGTTAAGTAAAAGAAAGCAACAAAACCCTTGTCGCCTCCTTCCTTTCTTCTGGATTTATCCTGATCCGAGCGCTCTGGCCAGGGTGCTACATGAGCTCTTGGTTGGCCTCCCAGACCCCACTCTGAATCTCCACAACACCAACTGCTATCTAACTTTTCAGAAAATGTTGTTTTAACCATGTCATTCTCATCCTCAAAAATTTCCACTGCTAAGTGAAAGAAGCCCGACACAAAAAGGACAAATATGGTCTGATTCCATGGATATGAGTAGCCTATCACTAGATCAGTCAGATTCATAGAGACAGAAAGCAAAATGGTGGTTGCCAGGGCTTGGGGGAAACGGAGATTGGGAGAGTTAATGTTTCATGGGTGCAGAGTTTCAGTCTGAGATGATTATAAAATTCTGGAAATAAGGTGATGCTTGCACAGCAATGTGACTGTACTTAATGCCACAGAATTGTACACTTAAAAATGTACAATGATAAAAGGAAAATGGTTAAAAGTGGTTGAAAATTGTTAAAGCAGTACATTTTATGTTATGTATATTTTACCCCATAATATAAAAGAGAAATCTTTTGAAAATGTACCACAGTTTTCCATTACTGATGGGAAGATATCAAAACTCGATCTGGTGTTCAAGACCCTCATTTTGATTTCATCCTATTTGCCTAATTTGATTTTCTATTACTGACAATACATCTCAGTTAACCAATTATCTTCTCATACAGTATAGACGTTATCCTCATCATTGCCTTTGCTCAAAACCCAGCTTAAGACTCAAAAAAGCTTTTCAAGCTACTCCAGCATTTATTCTGAGCTCTCCCATCTCAGAAATATGATGTAAGTAGCACAGAGCTCAGCATTCCACTGCTCTCTAAGGATGCAAGATTGTTAGTGATATACCCACAGCAAGATTGTAAGATCTTTGAAGGCAATGAACAGCACCATAGACCTTTTTATGTCTTCTAAAGCAGCCCAAGTAGCTTCTGAGCACAAGGAGAGCATCAGTCATTGATGAATTCAACGGTGGCTTAATGACAAAATGTCCAACACTTCAATTATTTTCCTTTATAAACTATATGTCCCAATCAAGAACATGTGCAGGAACGATAACCTATTTTTCTTTGAAGCAACTCAACTCTGCATAATGTAATAAAAAGTTAGCCTAAAAATATAACTACCCCTAAGTGAGAGGCAAACATCTAATGCAATTAAACTAAGTCCATGTTATCAGCTGAACCTTAAGAATTAATTACTCAGATACTTTCCACAAGAGTTCTATGGTCCAAATCACGTCGTTTCTTTATTCAGACATTCACTGCCTTCTTGTCTAGAAATTATGCATGTCATTTTCAATCAGGCATGCAGGCCTTCCATATCATGTCCTTGCAAGGCCTCTCTCCCCATTCACTCCTTTAACCAGTGCCAATTGACATGAAGAACTTCCTTACTTCTGGGAGTCTGGAGGCTTTCTTTCTATTCCCTCAGCAAGGAATTCCCCATCATCTTACCCTTTCCATTATCCGAACTGCTTAAAATCCTGATCTGTTTTCAAATGCCACATCACTTACTCGATTTTTCTGTTCTCCGTAACTAGACACAGTTTTCCATTTCTGGGCCTCTTCACACCACTTTATTTGCATGTCCCTTTTTTCTTTTTTCTTTTCTTTTTTTTTTTTTTTTTTTTTTTTGAGATGGAGTCTCACTATGTTGCCCAGGCTGGAGTGCGTGGGGTGATCTCAGCTCACTGCAAGCTCCGCCTCCCGGATTCACGCCATTCTCCTGCCTCAGCCTCCCGAGTAGCTGGGACTACAGGCACCTGTCACTATGAATGGCTAATTTTTTGTATTTCTAGTAGAGAAGGGGTTTCACCATGTTAGCTAGGATGGTCTCGATCTCCTGACCTGGTGAAGCCTGCCTTGGCCTCCCAGAGTGCTGGGATTACAGGTGTGAGCCACCGTGCCTGGCCCCCTCAGCCTTTTTTTTTTTTTAAAGAGACAGGGTCTCACTCTGTCACCCAGGCTGGAGTGGAGTGGTATGATCATGGCTTACTGCAGCCTTGAACCCTTGGCCTCAAGCAATCCTCCCACCTCAGCCTCCTGAGTAGCTAGGACTACAGATGCTACCATGATTGGCTAATTTTTTATTTTTTTGGTCTTGCTATTTTTCCAAGGCTGCTCTCAAAACTACTGGGCTCAAAAGATCTTTTGCCTCCCAAATACTGTGGTCCCAGGTTTGAGCCACCACAGCCAGCCCTCAAACGCTGATGAGCACATTTAGTTCTTTGGAATGCTGCTCTCTGCCTCCCCAGATTTTAACTTCTTTGAGGACATGAACTAAGTCATATTTTTCTGTTTTCTGTGACTCTTCATGCCCTGTTTTATACATAGTATTTGCTCAACAAATATTTGTTGAATGAATCAACTTAATACAATAAAAGGCAGCTGTCATTTTCCCAAGTGCCCTTTCCTGTAATTCAACCACAGTATTTGCTCCAGGCTGGGATCTGGAAACCAAGAATATACTGAGTCGGGATTAAAAAAAGATTTACAAAAACAATTTTACTAAGGGACTATGAAACTATAGTGTTAAAAATAGAGTGCCATTTTTTTGGCCACGGTGTTCATACCTGCCTGATTCCAAACAAGCTTTTAGAAAGGCAATGTTTAGCTGGTAATGGGGACCAGATGCTACCATTTGGAGGAAAACATAATTAACTTGAATACTGTAAGGAGAGCAGAACCGTCACCAGATTAATGCTCTTTTTCTCAAGCAGACTCAGCTGGGGCATAGTTTCTATATTCAAAGACTTAGTGATGTCCTGCTCCCATTTAGCCAACATATCCATGGTGCAAAGTGAGACTTATTCCTTCCATATGGCTACCTCATTAAAACAACAACAACAAAAAAAAATGAAGAGGCAACTTGATTTACCTTTGACTGAAAACTATTTGACTCACTTTTAACAATAATTTGGAGAAAAATTACATTAACAATTAATTCGAGGTTTGAATGAGATGCTAGTGTTTAACTCTGTCCCTTCATAACAGGCTGGTACAGGTCAGCCTGGTACAGGTCAAACCCTTTGGAAATAGTGTTGCAAGATTTAGCAAACAAACAACAAAGGAAGAAACAAAATGCCCAGTGAAATTAGAATTCAGAGAAATAATGAATGATTTTTTAGTATACGTATGTCTCAAATATTGCATGGGACATACTTATTCTGAAAAATTATGTCGTGTTTGTCTGCATCAAATTTAACTGGACATTTTGTATTTCACTTGGCAACCTTGTTGGGAAAGCTTAAGACCACTTCACGATGGAAGGGAGAAATCAGTTTTGTAATGGAGGATTGAGGTGGTTATTTTCAGTGATATTATTTTACAGTAAATCTCTGTACTCAGCTTTAATGGAAAAACTGAGGTATACTGGTAAATCAAATATCCAGTTAACCAATTTCCAAATAATGAGAAAGTAATAACTGCATTCGATGGGAGACCCTGAATGAGCATAATTTAATCTTTCCTTGATGACTCAGAAAGTACCTCTGGATATTATGGTGTCTGAGATCATCATTGTGAATTCTGATTGACTTAGGAGCCCATGAATATGTGTTGAAGTGCCGGGTAACAGACTTCTGGTTAATAATAGAAGACGGCAGAGTTCACAGTGTGTTAAGCAGGCATCGTCCAACGTGATTTTCATCAATTTCCACGTCTGCCAAAATGATGAAGCCTACTTTGTCAAAATAATGAAAATGCCTTTCATCAATCACCTATAAAGCAGGATGGTTTGTTCCAATCTTATTTTCTTTATATCTCTATATGGTGACAAACTGAAGTTTCCAGGATTACTATATTTCCTTTTTCTTTCTTTCTTTTTTTTTTTTTTTAGATGGAGTCTTACTCTGTTGTCCAGGCTGGAGTGCAGTGGCCAGTGGCACGATCTCAGCTCACTGCAAGCTCCGCCTCCTGGGTTCACACCATTCTCCTGCCTCATCCTCCTGAGTAGCTGAGACTACAGGTGCCCGCCACCGGGCCTGGCTAATTTTTAATATTTTTAGTAGAGACGGGATTTCACTGTGTTAGCCAGGATGGTCTCGATCTCTTGACCTCATGATCCGCCCACCTCGGCCTCCCAAAGTGCCGGCATGAGCCATAGCGCCCAGCCCAGGATTACTATATTTCTAAAAAATAATTTCTGAATCAAAAAATTAGGGTAAAACTCGGGGCTCTCGTGGCTTTGGAAGCCAAGTAATGTGTTCAAGCAGTAACTTTTGATTAGGTAGGCTTAAACAAAATCCAGATTGAATTATGACTACTTGACAGGGTGAAAATTTGAGGTCCGGCCATTTGTTTCTCAGAAGGTTTGGATAGAACTGCACTTCATTCATTCAAAAGTAACCACCAAACATTCGTTATGTTCCAGGCATACAGGACACAACAGAAAATGAGGCAAACAGGTCCCCTGCTCTCCTGGACCATCTAGTCCAGCAGGGATACTGTAGTCCTCCTTTCATTAATCTCCACTCAAGGGGACCATAGCGTCAAGAAAATGAAGATTATCTGCTTCTGATAATCAAGAAGAAAAAGTTGAAATTACTGTCTTATTAGAAGCTCTGCTTGCTGGGGCATATGCTAGGTTCAATGTATTGAGTGCCGTGTACTATTTTAATCTAACGGGTACCATTTAGTGAGCACTTACTTTTAGCCAGGGGTGTTCCAAATTTTCTTTCATTTACTCCTCATTATAGTTGCATTAAGGTGAACCTCACAGACCAGAAAATGGAGATCAGAGTGAGTCTCAGTGTCTTACCCATGGTCGGTCACACATACACTAAGTGGACAGTCCACAGTCAAGCCTGGACATGTCTGCCTACCTTCTGTCCATGTGACTATCATTGCAATGTGTTAGCCTCTCCAAAAACCTGCCTGTGGCAATTATTTGGAGACTAGGGCCATTTTACTAGAGAAAAACTATTTAAAAGTATAGTGGAGACTATGATTAAGAGACTAGCACTAGGAACTGAAAGGAAGCACCTTATTTGAAAAACGGCTACTTAATTATGTATGAAAATATTAGGATATGCTATTTTAGACATCTAAATTTACAAAACTAGATCATTTAACTATTTTTAAAAATTGAACAAATTATTTACCTTCTTTGGTCACATTCCTAGAATTACCTCTCAGGGAAATCCTTGTGAAAATTAAAAAGAACAATTTAGCTATAAAAAAAAATTCTATTCAACTAAAAGGATATGACATAAATCTCTAAGAGCCTGGAAATTCAGAGTTTTGGCTAACATGTTTGGAGTCTTTATGAAGTTTACCTCATTTTTAAAAATACAATGACATGAGATAAGGTTGAAGAAATGGGCCAGAAAATTCCACCCAAACCTCAAATGGCCTTATTTCTACAAATTTATGAATAACAGCACAAATTTGCCATGCTCTGAAAATGACCTAGAACTTTCTGTCATCTAACTGCTGATCAAAAATAAAGCCAAGGTTATATCTAACTTTTCAATGTCCTTTCTTCTTTCAAACCCCTCTCCACTCAATTCCTGCCTCTAAGGCCTTGAACTTTCTAAGTCTTAGGTCCTAAAATAATAAACAAGTCTGTCTACGGGGTGGAAATAAATAAATTTTTAATTAAAAAATCCGATGTTGGTTTTTACTTTCCAAACTGAACTCTACTATCAACAAGTGTAGTTTTTCCTGTTCATTAGCTCTTCTCAAAATTGCTTGTAATTTCATGGAACATTGCCAAAGTGATTTTTTTTTCCTTCCAAAGTCAGTATTCTTCTCCTCTAAAAATAATTAAACTAAAAAGGATAAACATAAAAATGGAATAAAAAATTAAATACCCTAAATACATATATAACATAATATTAAAAGGTAGTTCAAAGACTTTTAGACATTGTTTGCTTTTAATTACTTTTTAGTGAGTGGGTCAACTGATTCTGCCTTTGAACTTTCAAGCTTACCATGAAGATCACATTGTACTGGTATTTTTTGGTGCCGGTGGTTGTTTCAATGAAAGTTTGTCAATGTATTTACTAAAATGGAAAGGAATTCTAATATGACTGCTATATACTGCAGAATATAACATAGTCATGCAAGAAAATAAATGGACAGGCAGAGCGCAGTGGCTCATGCCTGTAATCCCAGCACTTTGGGGGGCTGAGGCAGGTGGATCACCTGAGGTCAGGAGTTCAAGACCAGCCTGGCCAACATGATGAAACCCCGTCTCTACAAAAAATACAAAAATTAGCCAGGTGTGGTGGTGTGAACCTGTAGTAGTATCAGCTACTGTAGTAGTACCAGGAAGCTGAAGCAGGAGAATTGCTGGAACCTGGGAGGTGGAGGGTGCCGTGAGCCAAGATCACATCACTGCACTCTAGCTTGGGTGACAGAGTAAGACTCGGTCTCAAAAAACTAAAATAAATAAATAAATAAATAAATAGACATAGCTGGCCAGGAGCAATAGCTCACACCTGTAATCCCAGCACTTTGGGAGGCCGAGGTGCGAGGATAGCCTGAGCCCAGGAATTTGAGACAAGCCCAAGCAACATAGGGGTTACAATTAGTTGTCTATACTGGTGCCCTCATGTTCTCCCACATGTATTCAAGAGGCTGAGGTAGGAGCATCGCTTGAATCTGGAAGGTTGAGGGTGCAGTGAGCTATGATCATGTCACTGCACTGCAGCCTGAATGACAGAGTAAGACCCCGTCTCAAAATAAAGAAACAAAGAAATAAATAAAACTGCTGGAGAATATTTCATGCAACAGTTAGTTACTGTAAATCTACTAAGTAGTAGTCAGTATCCAGGAAGCAGAGATGAAAGGCATGATACTTGCCTTCACGCAGCTTACAGTCTAGTGGAAAAGGTACCAGTAAACAAATATCTACCACATGCCAGGCTGTGCTATGTGTTTTATATCCATTATCTAATAATAATGCATCATCACAACTAGGCTGTATGATGTAAATAATTATGACTATTTCCCAGGTGAGATAACTAAGGCTTTGAAAGGTAAGTATATTGACCAAAACAATCTGCTAGTGAGTAGTAAGGCAGGAATTGAACTTGGATTTGTCTAAATCCAAAGTAGATGCTTTTATTATCAAATAAAAATTATTGCATTTATAAATTTATTCACCCTGTATTTAAAGGTTTGCATAAATCAAAACAAGACAATCTTCGACTTGGAAGATTCAGTCTTCAATCTTCCACAGCTTACCTGTTATCTTGCAACCATACACTTCAAATCTCATAGATATGCCAGTTTCCCAAGTTGCAGGCTTGATTCGGACAAATCGAGTTATCAGTGGCTTGGGAAATACAGCAACCACAACATCTGTGGGGTTGGTGTTTCCCTGAAAGAGCTGTATGGGGGAAAAAAGTACCTTTCTTTAGCAGAGGTTTTGAATTTAAATCCAAAAGTGTGTTTTCACAAGTGGTTGTAAAAAGTATTTACAATTTCAGCATTGTCGATCAAGGATGAGACGGCGTTAATAACCTGCCATGTTAATTTTTTCAATTAGCAATCAGAATGATGTCTAATATAGAATACTGTCCTAATCATCGATTCAATTTTCTGAGAGGCTAGAGCCTTTAAAAGCACTAATTACATGGATAATATTGATTAAAGAATGCATGCTATTATCTAAAAAGTGTGAAACTATTAACTTCACCAGAGGACCAAAATAATACTGTAGACGTGTCATGGAAACTCACTGTTTGACTTTCCCAAGAACCCCCAGAAGGGATGCTTTTTGGTTTCAGTGTAGGGTCTGGCTTTTTGAAATTCTAGGTTGTGTTTGCAGCTACAGTACTAGGTCAAACAGTGTTCTCCCCTTTGACTTCATTCCTTGACAGAAGATCTTGTCTCCCACACTAATGCGTGACTTTAATCCTTTTTTGATTATTGGTAAAATTATGTTGCAGTGGTCAAAGTCAAAACTGAGTTATAAATTATTTTTATCTAAAAATCAGCTTTTCCAGGGCTTGTGCTTCAAGATTGATTGATTGATTCATTCATTCATTGATTTAAGACGGAGTCTTGCTCTGTCAGCCAGGCTGGAGTGCAGTGGTGCAATCTCGGCTCACTGCAGCCTCCGCCTCCCGGGTTCAAGCAATTCTCCTGCCTCAGGCCTCCTGAGTAGCTGGGATTACAGGCACCTGCCACCACGCCTGGCTAATTTTTGTATCTTTCAGTACAGATGGGGTTTCACCATGTTGGTTGGCCAGGCTGGTCTTGAATTTCTTACCTCAAGTCATCCGCCTGCCTCCATCTCCCAAAGTGCTGGGATTCTGCTTCTAGTTTTAAATCGAGTCATTTTACTCTAAGAAAGATGAGGCATGTGACTGCAAATGTAATGCATGCCAGGCACCAATGGATGTTTCCCACAAGGACTAGTGGGGGCCACTCTGCCTGGGCGGGGGAGCTGCAGTAGCATGCTGCAGTAAGATCTCTGAGGAATGGAGACTTTGCCATCACAGAATACTCTGCCTACCCTTTCCCGGATTTTACTTCAGCCATGGAGTGGTGGTTTCTCAGTTAGTTTCGGGCCTCGTGCATTCAGCACCATGCTTCTCTGCACAGCTGGGTCAGACCCCTCCTCGTAGGCTGCATAACTGGAGCATCATGGGGCTCACCCGAGGTGTGCAGCTTCCTCCCCACCTTTCCAGGTGAGGACATGAAGGAGGTCTATGGTTTCCCAAGTCCTGCTCTTCCTCCTGGGAGAAAGGGCTTGTGAAAGTCAGGCTGGTGGTCAAATGCTTTACAGAGTTGGTTGTGGCTGGGTGTGGTGGCTCATGCCTGTAATTCCAGAACTTTAGGAGGCCGAGGCAGGAGGACTGCTTGAGACTAGGAGTTTGAGACCAGCCTGGGCAACATAGTGAGACTCCAACTCTCCAAAAAAAAAAAAAAAAAAATTAGCCAGGCATTGTGGTAGTGCATACCTGTGGTCCTAGCTACTGGGGAGATTTAGCTGGGAGGATGGCTTGAGCCCAGGAGTTTAAGGCTGCAGTGAGCTATGATTTCACCACTGCACTCCAGCATGGGTGACAGAGCAAGACCCTGTCTCTATTTTTGTTTTAAAAAGTCAGTTTTTAGCCTGATCTCTCTCGAGAGACTACCTGATATCCTAATTTATCCCAGTCTGTGATGGCCTTTTGATTTCTGCCCTACATCAGCATCTCTCCCTGGAAATCAATCTGTGTGGGAGCATTTTTGTGTGACAAAGAGTAACGGGTAGCTGCCAGGGAAGGAGGGCCCCCAGCGATGGTGCTCTCCTTATGGGGGCACCGAGTCCATGTCCGAGAGAGACCAGAAGTCTGGCAGGAGAGCTGTGTGTTCTGGTGCAGGCAGAAGGAAGGTGCATTTTGCTCCCACTCAGGGAGTTTTAAGTTTGCTGAAAATCATGTATTACACACATTCTCTCCAACATGAAGAGGGTTGCTGCAGTTGTTATTAGTCGAAAGCTGCACTCTTGGAGCAAAGTGGGAACGAGGGTAGAGGGGAGTGGCTGAAAGCCCCTAAAGTACAGAGAAAGGTGGGGTGGGCAGCAATCATGAGACTCTAGGTGGATGTTCTAATTTCATTTAGATTCAGCTAAAGTGCTCAGAATAGATGCCAAGCCTTCCTCTCTGCCAACTCCTTCCTTATCCCCTCTGCCTGTGCCCCTGAAGCCCTTCTGTGTGCCAGGGAGTTCCCAGGGCAAGCTGCGTGCACTGTCAGACACCCCTGGAATCTGTGGGTGCTCTGTGACAGCCCCCCTCTTCTGGGCCATTCAAACAACCAGTGGACAACAGTTGAAGAAAACGTGTTGCTGAAATAGCCTTTATGTTTTTTTTCCTTAACAAAAAATGGTCATGTTGCTATTTCCTTTCATTCCTTTCATCTGCATGCATTCCAGTACAAAGATAATGAAACACCAATTAAGTTTTTCATTTAACATTATTTTAGACCTTTCACCTCATGGTTCTATTTTGTTCTTTTTTTTTTTCTCTTCAACCTTTAAGTTTCAGGGTACCTGTGCAGGATGTACAGGTTTGTTACACAGGTAAGTGTGTGCCAAGGTGGTTTGCTGCACAGATCAGCCCATTACCTAGGTATTAAGCCCAGCATCCATTAACTATTTTTCCTGATGCTCTCACTCCTCCCACATACCCCGCTACCGACAGGTCCCAGTGTGTGTTGTTCCCCCCAGTGCGTCCATGTGTTCTCATCATTCAGCTCCCGCTTATAAGTAAGAACATGCGGTGTTTGGTTTTCTATTCCTGAAGTAGCGCTTATTTTAAAAAGAAATGGACTGAAAGTCTAAGGTCAGCTCTCCGGCTCTCTCTGGGTTCTTTGGCTGGTAGGTGCCTCATTAGAGTTAGTGATTTTTTATTTCCTTGAACCTGAAATATGTCTTCAGAAATTTATTCCCAAACAAGAATCAGTCATGAAACTTGGGTTCAAAATTTACTTGCTTCATCTCCATGAGCGTTGACTGGGAAGGTTCCTCTTCCCTAGACAAACTGGTTGCATGTCCTCCGGAGCTCGACAATGGCCTTGAACTTGTCTGCCCATAGCATTTTCCTCCTACAGAGCAGCTGTCTATCTGTAGCTGTTTCTATCTTGCCTGCCCTGTCCGAGAGTGGGGGTTTCACTGCTAATCAAAGGGAATTAATAGGTTTTCTCACTTCATACCCAGGAAGCTTTTCTCAGTTCCAGATCCACAAGGAGAAAATCAAGTACACCAATGCTCAAAAGGGAGACAAGGACAGGTTAATTGGCCTCTCCCCAAGCCCATCATTGCAAGCTACCTGGATCTTTGCTCCTATCCTCATCAATTTCCTGTGTTTCGCTCGGCCTCCAGGGCAAGCTTTTAATTTCTGCGAGACAGTGAGTATGAATTCTCCAAAATCTTTTGATTAGAAAATCAGAGCAAGTGTAACTTCAAATAAACAGGCAGGCTGAGAAAAACATCTCAGTTCCAAATAAGCTAGGGCAGAGTGCCCAGGCACACAGTGTGGTCTGTGCTGCCTTCTTGGTTGAAAGTAGTACAGAGGTAGTGTGTTATTTGTGTGATCTGAGGGAACACAATGAAATACCTTTGGTTCCATGCGTTCTTACAAGAAGCAGTCAAATGTACTTGTAAATTAGTTTGTAAGCCACAGTACATAGATGAAAAGATGTTTACTAAAACCAGTCCGTTACAGAGAGAAAGAATCTATGAAAGAGAATGAAGAAATAGAGGGGGAAAAACAACAAAATCCCAAATTCCTAAGATTCTAAGAGGACAGTGTTCATCCCATGCAGAATCTGTGTCCCTGTGGGAGGCTTACAGCAATTCTTGAATCTGACACTTAATTTGGCCAGTATTGACTTTTCTTGGAAACATTCGTATAATTTCCTCCTGGCTTCTGGATCTGGGAACATGAGACACCTTGGTCAGATTTAAACCTCTAATTGCACTTTTCATTTCAAATCAATTCAAAAATAAACCAGGCCAGACAGAAAGCTACTAAACAAACAAGTAAAAATTGATCATCCATTTAAAAGACTGCATTGGTTGCCATGGTGGCAGCCTAACTTACAACAGGTTTGTTTCCTTCTTTTATGGTGATCCAGTCTTCCCCGTTGGAGCTAACGTCGACTTTGTAAGTCTTGACATAATATTTCTTCTTGGTTTCTTTTGAAATGGCGCCCTGTGTCCCGACAGCCGTAACGAAGCGCAGAAGGCCCAAGTCCACCTGTAAGACAAGTACAAGCATGGTCAGTGCACCATCCCTGCAGCACTGTAACCCAAAGCATCTTTTCTGGTGCGCTCCATATTGTGGCTTTCATCCACCTGGGATCAACAGGGCCTAATTCCATCAGGTGTCCATCGCCCCTGACTCCTCCCTTCCATTCCTTGTAAAGAAAGGCAAAGTCATGATCAATGTAAACCAAAAATAAGATTCTAAGCCCCCTGACCATCTGAATGGACACCTTGTCCCAGCAAGGGCATTCCAAAGCTAACCTGAAAAACTAGTTCAGGCCATGACAGGACAGTGTGGGGGTCAGACAAGCTTCATTATTATACCCTCATCTCTGCTGGAATTAATGATAGAACAGACTCTTTAAGGCTGAAAAGAAACATCTACAACGTATTCTCTCTGAAGCCTGCTACCTGGAGTCTTTACCTGTACGTTATCTTAACCCAGACATTCCTAAGTCTTTAGACAGTAACTTAACTCTTCCAACCAATTGCCAATCAGAAAATCTTTGAATCCACCGACGACTTGGGAGCCCCTGTTTTCAGATGTCCCACCTTTCTGGACCAAACCAATGTGCATCTTCTATGTATCTGATTGATGTCTCACGCCTCCCTAAAATATATAAAACCAAGCTGTACCCAGAGCACCTTGGGTTTATGTCCTCAGGACCTCCTGAGATTCTGTGTCACAAGCCACTGCTTACTCATATTTGTCTCAGAATAAATCTATTCAAGTATTTTACAGAGTTTGACTCTTTTTTTTTTTTTTAAGGGGGTATCTGAACCATTTTTATTTAACAGAAATAACAAACAAACATATATTAAACTTTAGAGTTTGACTCTTTTTGTTGACAAAAGACAGCATGGCCCTAAGTTGGTTCCCATTGTTAGGAGGAAATCCAGGAAAAGATCTTTCTCACTGTTGTAACCAGGATTGCTTGAATCCCGGGGGAAAAGAGAAAACTGGATTCAATATCATGTCATTATATTTTCTAAGAGATTAAACATACTTTCCAAACTGCACATTCATATGTGTCATCTTGCAAAGAGAAAATCAAGACAAACAAGATAAACTCACACAATGGATAATGGAGAGGCCTGGACTTGAATTCCTGTCTAACATAATCCCGTTTTCCCTCTGTCTTTGGCATCCTACCTCCTTCCACATTAAATGCAGACTGAAACGATACTGACTTGAAAGCTCTAAGGGTGTTGTGGTTTGGGAGAGGGGCCATAGATTTATAACTTGGGATGGAATAAAGAGGAAGAGGGTAAAGATTTCTATTTCAGCTTTAGATTTCTTCCCTCCCCACATCTTCCTGTGGCCTCTCTCCTTGCAGCTCAGTTTGAGAGGCAGGTGGATTCCAAGTCATCATGTGGGGGAGACTGATGTCCCCAGGAAACAACTGCTTGGGCTTGCAACCTTCTCCTGGTAAGTTTCCAGTGGGAAAGCTCCTCAACATGACAGCCTCGCCTTCATCTCTCACTAGCCTATCTCATATCCTGAGGGGTCGGGCTCTTGGAGGGCATCCGAGTAGTGATGACCAGAGGGTGACTGAAAACCTAGAGGGTCACAGACCTCGAGGGTCTGTGGTTTCATCCCGGGGCCCTGTGATGTGAGTGGTAAGGAACTGATTTAAGCAACAAGCACTCCATGTTCCAGGCTCTGCCATCATCTTTAGGCTTCTGGGCCCTCATTTGTGAAATGAAGGAGTGGGATTGGATAACTTGGAAGACTCTTTTCCACTCTGACTTCCTAAAATTCCTTCTTTCATATGTGTTAAATGTTTCCAGTAGAGTGGAGTAGGTTTTTTTTTTTTCTTTAACTCTCCTTATTACCAGAGTTAATAACTAAGAATCATCTTGAAAGAAAACTCATTACTATTTTCTATATAATAGTGATTTTTCAATTTATTTTAATACATCTGATTATTCCTATAAAATTATTTGCTCCATCAATTGTGTGCCCAGCTTTATACAGAAGCTTAAAAAAAGCCCACAAATATATGGCAAATTTTTTTTAAAGGACACAGAAAATAGTTACACGTTACAACTAATAGCATCGACAAGATATTGCAACAGTACCTTGATCATTAGGAGGTTGAGGCGGGTGGATCACGTGAAGTCAGGAGTTCAAGACCAGCCTGGCCAACATAGTGAAACTCCGTCTCTACTAAAAATACAAAAATGAGCCCAGCATAATGGCACATGCCTGTAATCCCAGCTACTCAGGAGGCTGAGGTGGTAGAATCTCTTAAACCCGGGAGGCAGAAGTTGCAGTGAGCTGAGATCTCACCACTGCACTCCAGCCTGGGTAACAGAGAGAAACTCTCACTCAAAAAATAAAATAAAAATAAAACAACAAATTAAAAAAAGCCCAACCCCTCTCCCAACTTTTGAATCTTGCTTTCCAGTTGCCATATTACAATTCAGTTTTCAGAATATAATATTTCAATTAATTCTCCATGCCCATAGGCCACGATCACTTAAAGAATTTCCATTTTATGCGTAGCCTGCCTCATGGAGGCATTTTGTCTTTCATGAATTGCTTTTTTCCTGAAGGCACTTGGAGTAGTTAAATCATGTTGTCTACATCCAGGAAAAACAGCACATGGAAGCCAATTTGAAGTTATAGAATTCAACAGTAGTAGATTTCATCTGGAAAGGATGGGGCTACCATTCAACGCAAAATAATCTTTATTTCATTTCCCTAGTTTTAAAGATATAAACTCTAGGCTTTGTGTGCTTTCACCAGATTTAAGAGAAAAAGGAACAAGAATTCAATAGAATTTAATATTTTAGAATAATAACAACAGATTTTATAATTTTAATTTAACAAATAAATATTTTACCAGCATATTCTTATCAAGTGCCTATACTTGTTTACCAAAATTTGCATTTGTTTTTCAAAAGTGAACCATGGTACTTTGATGAATGTTTTAAACTTCCTATCTCCCTCATGTACATATTTCAAAAAGGGGAGGTGATTGATGGTTGTCAGATTTAGCAAATAAAAGTATAAAACACCAGTTAAATTTGAATGTCAGGCAAAATCAAATTTTTTTTTTTAGTATAAGTATGTCCCATGCAATATTTGGGCTATACTTATACTAACAACTAATTCATTGCTTACATAAAATTCAAATTTAAATGGATTTTCTGTATCGATGTTATCTGACAACCCTAAATCTCACTATGCTACAGACAAATAGGTGATTTTAAGTTGCTGCAGAAACTCTCTGATTTCACAATGCTGCAATCTAAAAGTTAATGGGTACTCTAAAAATGGTTGCTCTGAACAATTTTCACTGTTTTCAAATGCTCTCAGAACACTTAGCGCTTTTCCGACTGTCCATTAAAGTCATGCCCAATGCCACAGCTACTTTCAAGCTGAAGGGTCCTTAAAATCTTGAAGTCCAAGGGAGCATGAAGCAGAGCTATTTAAATAAACTTTTCCTGTCAAACTTACAGATGGCTCTTTAGTTTGGAAATGATTAAATTCCCAAGAGTGTGTATTTAGCTTGGGCTGATTTGAAATAACCCTAGAACTACATTCCCTGTTTGTCCTTTTTCTACTTTTTAAAATTTGGTTTTTGGAGTTAGATTTAATTACTAAGTACGAAAGAAGTTAACTGGTGATCAAACAGAAGATTCCTAGGTATTAGAAACAGCTGACATCAGAGGAAGGAGCAATTGACTGGAATTAACTAGTATCCAACACAGGAAAACGTCCAAGGCCGAAGATACAAAGGTCCCCAAAGCATATGCATGAATCACTCATTAAAAAAGAAAGATATTTTCTTTTCTCAACAGCGATGAAATGCATTGGCAACCTCCTCTTGTAATTGCATAGTTTCCTGCTGTGCTTTAAAACACTGCAGATTCTCTTATTTACCACACGGGGATACTTGAAATTTCATTTCATTTTTCTCCCTAAGATTATTGCCCGTGGGTTTAGTAAGGATAGATGACAACCTCGCAAAGTGATTAAGATTGGGGCTTGAACCACTGCAATTACAACCGGATAGTACCCAGAACTCTAACAACATAACAGCCTCTCCAGCACCGTGCAACCCTCACTGCTAAGACGGGGGAAATTCTTTCCACGAGTCCTTTCTCTTAATGCCTTAGTGGAATTCTCTAACAGGGATCTGCCCTCCAGTCTCAAGTGCCTGAGAGAGTTTGAGGGGAGACAAAGTCCTGCCTCATAAGCACCACTGCTCACACTGCTGGTGTCTGTGTCAGGAGACCTAGAAAGACTTCATGCCTTGGTGTTTATATCTGAAGAGTTCTGGAAGACACCACCCCCAAAATTTGCCACTTTGGCATGAAGATTATTTTGAGTTGAAGGCAATCAAGGATCAACAGATGCAAGAATTCTGTGCCTTCCCCTTCTCTGCCTAAAACAGGGCATACATTTCCCTTAGGGAAGGTGGTGTAAATTTTCCCCCTCTCGTCTACCAGGATGAAGACAGCAACATTTATCAGTGGAGACAGAGATAAAATTTGCATAAACAAATCTTACTAAAATAACTCTAATTTTCCATTAGTTTCCTATATATATATGTGTGTGTGTGTGCATGTATGTGTATATATATGTATCTCCTAGTCACGTTCCTACAACTTATCCACTCTAGAAGCCCAAACCCTCTTTCTTTTCTCAAGTCACTTATCCACGACTTATCACACATTGCTAAAATGGTGTATAAGCATCTGAATCTATTTCTTTGAGTTTTTCATTTCTTTTCTGTAAGGCTTCTGTGCATGTAAAATTTAAAGTATTAATGCCTTTTTTCCTGTTAATCTGTCTTTTGTCAGTTTAATTTGCAGGCCTCAGTTGCAGCACCTAAAAGAGGAGATGAAAAGTTTTCTCCTTCCCTTACAAGCCTTTCTCACTGGTGTAGCTGTCTCTGCTAGTCATGGCACTGGCTTCAATCTACCTTGTTGGCCTCTCCTGCTACACCTCTCTCTCTCCAAAACTGTACCACGCAGCCA